CATTGAAATTTAATATTCTCACGGATACTCCCACTAAGTTTTACCCTCTTTATTTTATTGGAATTTTAGTATAAATGACCTTTTTTGAAGGATGTTTTTCATAAATTACCGAAGTTTTGTAAAATTATAAAAATAGTCGTTTTCATTGACTTAGTAGTAATTATTGATTGACTCAGGGATCAATCATAATTGACTATAGTTTATAATTGATTAACTCGATTATTCTTCATTATTAATCAATATTAGTGTATAATTAATCAAAATCAATTTCAATTAACAAATTACATGTTTATTAATGATAAATCATTGATAAATTAATAATGAATCGATCAATCATGATTGATCATGGGTCAATCACTGATTGACTCTAGTTCATAGATCTATCATTTGATTGACTCATGTAAACAAAATAGTCATGTTCGTATAATAAAACAGTTCGACCATTTATGAAAAGATGCCGTTAAAAAAAGCCATACAACACAATTTTTATATTTTATTTTTACATTTATTTCATGAACACCTTTAATCATTTACTCGTGAGCTAATACTTTCTATATTTTAAAAAAAAAAAATTATACCATGCATTTTGAGATTAAAGAAATAATAATGTTATATTTTTTACTATATCATATTTATTTTCTTACATTTCAAATTCATATTAGATCCTTACCTTTTTAGGTCAAAGGTTTGATTTTGATTGTGAAAATTACAAAAATATCTTTCATATTTTGGAATTTTTATTCTTTCCATATTTGTTATATTTTTACTAAGTCATATATTTAGGTCTTTTTTAGTCAAAATGAGTTGATGGCCGAGAAAGGTACTAACAACTTGAATATGAAAGTATGTATGTTATACAGTCTAAAAATATAAGGCACTCTCATAATGCAAGTATAAAAACGGAAAAAAAAAAAAATCAATGATAGAGTATCCTTCTCGGTAGTATATGTCTCTGTTAAATCTTATTAAAATCACATTAAAATAAATAGTATGTAAAATAAATGATTTTTATGTAGATCTAATATTACAAGGTTAAGATATTTTTTTATATAGTACAATTCTCAATATGTGTTTAGTAGTTTTTGAAATATGTTGTAAATACAATTTATATATCTCTTTCATGTTATTTATTTAAAAAATAAATAAATAACGCAATGCCTTGAAGCCGAAAGCGGAACCTGGCTCCACCACTGAGTCAAACATATCTATTTGATGTTAGTAATAAAATTATGTTATAATGTGTGTAATTTCTCATTTGTGTTTGTTTTTCCTTTCCTTTTCATATTATTATATGCTCTATCCTCAGCATAATTTTAGCAGTTCTCCTGTTCTTCTATATCTCGACTAAAGGCTTAAAACTCAACCGGTTTCGTCAGTTTCCAGTCTATCAATGACCGAAACAATTCGATTACGTCTCGAATTGTTTTATCACTGACCAATTGATGTAGTGTTTTATCTTTCCAAATCTTATCACTTCAAAGACTATCAGAATTATCTATACAACGTTACTAAAGGAGAATGGGCTTTTAGGGCTAAGTAACAAATGTTTCAGGCCCATTTAGTAATGTTTTTAAAATAGTTTTGTTTTTCATATAAAAATAAAAATGATATTATTTTAAAAATTATTTTGAAATTAATTTTGAAATTATGTTTGGTGGTCTTTCAAGAGATTATTTTGAGTATGATAAAAAAGTAAAATCATGTTTGGTTACATTTATATTTGTTTTGAGTACATGTAATTAATAATCTTAAATTAATGTATTAAGTAATTAATAATTGATTATTATTTAGTAAATAAAAATTAATATATTAATAATATAATAATAACAAATAAATTATCATTAACGAGTACATTAGTAATTAAAATATATATAATAAATTAATATGCTAAATAATTAAAAATAGTAATTAGTAATCAATTATAAGTAATTACTATGTTAATAATGTACTCATATTTATTAGATTATAAGTAATTAATTAGTGTATTAAGAAAAAAATAATTAATATATACATAATTTATTAATATTCTGTTTACTACTTAAATTATTAACTTTTAGTTACATAATTAAATAATCAGTTAATTAATTACTAATGTTTATTTAATAATATATTATTTGATATACCACATGATCAATTTTTAGAAACTATTCTTTTTATAATGATTAATTACTAATGATCAATTATTAATTGTTATTGATTAGTATATAACATATTGATAATTATAATTTAATATTAATTATTAATTGAGTAATTACTATTTATTTTTTATTTACTAACTATTTACTAATTAATAGATTATAATTAACATAATATATGATTGATATATTAATTATTAATTATTTATTTAATAACCAATTATTACTTAGTTTATTGTTAATATGTTATATAATTAATTTTTAACAATTAATCTTTAATTAAATAATTAATTGCTATATTATTTATTATTTTATTAATAAAATTAAAAACTTAATAGTAATAAATTAATATTTAATTAATAATTAAGTAATTACTATCTATTTATTAGCTATTAAGTATATTTATTTATCAATTAGTAATTAATATATAATATAATTAGTAATTAATAATTAATTATTTTAATATAACTTTGTTGATAAGTATTAGAAAATACAACTTTTAATAATTTTCTACTTTCTTCACAAAAATCATTATTATTATTTTTTGTATTCATTTTTGTTTCAAAATTTAGTGGACGTTTGGTTCATAAGTTCAGAATCATAATTCAAAATCATTCTCAATTTACGTGTATTTTTTATGAGAAAAAATATTATAATAAATCACGAACCATAATCTAAACTACGACACAAATCCTTACTCTAAACTCCCTCTTAACGTTATCGAAAAGAATTCCAAACACAATTCCAAACGCACACTTCAAGCTTTTATTTTACTCTGGTGGAAAAAAATCCGGTGTGGTGCGCTTCAGTAAAACGTTACGTGTCAGGTGATGATTGGATGACTTCTACGGTGGGTTCCACACGGGAATCTCCGGAACGTCTTATCCAATGTGTACCTCGTGTCACAATATGAATGGCCAAGAGATAACATAATTATGTTCACACCGCACTGGATCATGCACGAAAAAGTAGTCACCGATAGAAATACCACGTGGTGCGCATT